GGATTCCATGGAAACTTTTTTCACCAGTTGAGCCTACTTGAGGATGTTTAGATGTCATTTTAGCCCTTAAGACAACCCAACCCCTGAAAAAAGTTTATCATGCTTAATAGAACACAATTTGTTGAATAATACATATGAAACTACTTATTTTGTATTTATAAAAGTGCAAGAGGATAAAAATTGAGGCCTGTTCCACAAAACCCAGGTGAGATGCAGACTGAATTTCATATTCAATTTACTTCTAGAACTTCAGAAAATGGAAATGCCTGCATACATAAAATATAAGTACTATGATGGTGATACATAGTTACATTACTCAGAAACAAAAGCACTTACAGTTTTTCCAGTTTCTTTAATGACCTGAGGTTCTCTATACATGAAATACAATTGTTTTGTAGATATAGATGGGTCAGATTTGTTGCATAATTCAGGTTAGTGATTTGAGTAATACGGTTATCATATAAATATAAAACACTGAGATTTTTGCAAAGAGAGAGGTCTTCCTAAAAGGAAAACAAAACAAAGTTAATTTATCCTTAAAACTTTTGAGTTTTATTTTTGAAAAAGTTTTTTACTTGATCATTCTGCAAATTTCCCTAAGGTTAATATGAAAGGACAGTCTTTCTCTGTTCTTATGAGCACAGTGCAAATAAGTTCTAGGCTTTAGTAGTCTGTATTATACCAATAAAATTGATTTTTTTAAAGAAGTTTTTCTCAGTGCTAGTAATTTTCCTTGGAAGCAATTAGGCTGCTCTGGAAGTTGAAGCACTGAACTAATTATTGTTCCAACATTATAAATTAGGGCTAAATATCTTTATAGGATTAGATGTAAACTGTTATGGTTTATAATACTGAAACTTGGAAGTCATCTAGATATATAAGAAAAATAGATTAATAAAAAACTATGATAATGCTGTTGAAGGGAATACCATAGAACCATTGAATATCCTTTAGTTTCTTTAGTAATATCGTATAGATTTCATAATACATAATTAAGTGAAGCAGTACATTCAATATAACTGTTATAAAATTATATGAACATATGTCTAGAAAAAAGACATTACCTAAATGTTACAAATTGTTATCTCTGAATGGTAGGATTACATTCTTTCTTTTTATATGTATTTTATACAAATAAACACCAATTACTTTTGAGATAAGAAATTACTTAAAGGTATTTTTTAAAAGGCTGTCATTTCTTGTGTCATAGTAGAGTCAGCCTAATAAATAGACAAGAAATAAAGCAATGTTCTGCTCACAAACAACTCAGCCTTCATTAAGTTCTTTTAAAAATACAGCCATATTTTAGAAACTGTAAGTTTACAGGGTCATTCTCACTGTATTGTGAATTACTTTGACCAGTTTGCGTTCCTCCTAACAAAGATCATCCATGCTAGAGGAATATTGGTTGATGTGAGGACAAAAGAACTTGAAATGAGAGCTCACTGGGGCTTCTCCTGAAAAAGCAGTATGTATAAGGTTTGATGAGATAGAGCTCTGGGCAACAAAAAAGCATGATGTTTGGGCAATTGGTTTCATGGAAAGAAGGATCACCAGGAAACCAAAAAGGGATCTGGGTTGGATTCCTACCAAAAAACCAAGCATTTTTCAGTTGATAATTCTGCTTGGGCCTTTAGTGGGTTTTTTCTTTCAATAATTAACTTAATATTTCTTAAGCACTTAATATGTTATATTGTAAATATACACTTAATATTTCTTAAGCACTTTAATATGTTATATGTAAATATACATAATCCCTGCCTCAAAGTAGCTCATATGTTTCCAACAAATTTTCTTTTACCTATAGTCTTTAGCATTTATTAGAGACAACAGATAGCAATACAAATGGCTTAAAGGGTTATTGCAACAAGTGAATCTTTCTAAGAGTAGAATGTGAATGTTTTAAAATAATAACTGAGAAAATGACATGAAGGCTGTGTTGACCAGTTTGATGGAAGTATTTCAGATTGCATGTGAAAACCCCACACTGTACCCTAGAAGTGCATTAATGTACATAGTTACCATTCAATAAAAAAAAAAAAAAAAAGGTTATTGCAGCCTTTAAAGTTTCCCAAAATACAGCCAGGAATTACCTCAGCACTGAGTAAATGTAATTTGAGAGTATAATCAAGTAAACATCTTGTCTGATATAACCGATCCTGTATAACACATATTTATAAAACCAGTTAAATTATGTACAGAAAAAAATTTCACTGTTAAACTTTTAAAATATGGTTATTTATATAGTTACTTCATAATACTCTGATATGTAAAAAAGTATATATTCCAGGGTTTTGGAATAATACAAAAGCAATTGCTTTTGAAATTATTTTCCAACATACCCTTTCAAATCTAGTTTGAGGATTGTAGGAGAACAGTAACATATATTTAACATGACAGTGGTATATTTTATAGAGACTTAATTTTAATAAGTTGACTATCACAAGTAGGAAATTAAAATAAGAATACAATATAAAGCTTATTGATAAAAATGTAGTTAATAAGAATAATCTATAGTTAATCTATTAGATATGGTACTCAAGCCAGTTTCTAAACTTTACATTGTTAATTATATAAAAATAAGAAATAATTCCAAAGTTCTTACAACTGAATCTATATTTCTGTCTGAAAAATTTATATGAGTTATCTTCTTCAGGCACTGTGAAATGGTTTCTTCTTTTCGGGATTTAAGATTGCTGTTTCTCGCAATTAGATCCAAGGTCAGTCGAACCATGATTTCTCTAAATATCAAACTCTCAGCAGTAGCTCTGTTTTGATACCATGTCAAGAAACAGGTTTAGATATTGTTTATTTCCAACTTTCTAAAAATTAAAGAAAAGAAGTATTATGATATCACATAGCAATTTAGGAAAAGTTATTTTGACTTACTCTTTACTTTTCTTATATAAAACTATTTGATTAGCTAGTTTATTTTTAAGGACTTTGAGTTATGTTCCAAGTTTTTAGACTTAGCTCTTTTATAGTAAGACTTAAAAGCACCAAAATTAAATGTACAGTATTCACTCATTTTACTTTTAAATCTTTTCCTGAGTAGTACTGAATTATTGAATTGCTGTTGTAAGCATTTTTTCCAAAAGATGAGGTCTCACTATGCTGCCCAGATTGGAGTGCACAGGCACAATCAAAATGCACTATTGCTTTGAACTTCTATAAACTATAGAAGTATAGTCTTAAACTATAATCCTGCCTCAGCCTCCTAAGTAGTTAGGACTATAGGTTCATGTCACTGTACCAGCTTGTGGGCATCTTTTGGAGGCTTATTAATCTCTCCTGGAGTCAAAAAGCCCTCCAAAATATATCCTCCAATGTACTCATTACACAGATGAAGAAACTAAGTCCCAGAGATTTATCTCAAATTACTCAAGCTAGTGGCAGATGAGAATGGGACCAAGTCTTCTGGCTCCTTTTTCCATAGTACCCCTAGAGATCATATATCTGAAGCCCCCAAATCAGAACACATGGTGTGAAAACCTTGAGTATATACATAGGACAATGGTGCAAAACACTTGAAAATGAAGCTGGCCTAGAAATTTTATTTTGTTTTGTTATAACCATAATACACAAAGAGGCAACATAATGCTGTGTTTCTCAATCTACATTTCCTGGTTCATATTTTGGCTTCTGTCAGGCAATCTTGGACAAATTATCTCAATTTCTTATAAAATAAGATAATAATGGTATCTATTTCTAAGAGATAGTGTGAGGATTCATGAGGTAATCATTATAGAGCATTCTGCACAGTGCCTGGAAAATAGGTTAATAAATATTGTCTATTATTATTCCATTACTTTTTTGTTCACAGATAAGGTTATCTTCACTGTTTCACCTGGAATATATCAGGACTGTTAAAAATGTGGAACATGCTATCAATAAAACATTACTTTATGTAAGATAGCCATATGTTGTCTGTAAGTTTGAGGTAACCCCTTTTTTAGTTACCCAGGAAGTATAGTTATTTAAATGATAAATATCTGTTTCCCCATTTGCTTCACTTTTTTTTTTTGGCTGGGGCTGTTTGAACCCGCTGCCTCCTGTATATGGGGGCCGGCGCCCTACCCTTTTGAGCCATAGGCACTGCCCTGTTTCACATTTTATTACTAAAAATGTAACCAAAAATACAGTTTAAAATTGTATCTGGAATTTTACCAGCCAAATATCTCAACTTTATGATACTCTGGATATGAAATCAGTGCTTAGGAGGAAAAGTGAATTAAGTAGACAATAAATTGAATTTGTGTTCTCACACACTGTCAAATTATTACCCAGGTCATGTTATTATAAATCACCCACAATAAAATATTTGAAGATATGGAATGTATCCTTAAGAATCTTCACAGTACAAAATAGAATCTATAGAATGAAATTATAAAATTTTCATAGATTTTTGAAATTTGCATATATTTGTGATTTTTTTATAATAAATTTTAAGTTTATTGTTTACTTTTCAGATCACATTTCAAATGTGACAGAACAATAGTATTCTGAACAATACTTCTAATAAAGTAAAAAACTTTTTCTTAATATTGCCTTAAAATATTTCACAAAATAACTTCATCATAAAACCATAAACAATAATATGACACCCATGGACCCACAGGTCAGCTTAAAATGTAAAACATTACAAATAGATTTAAAACCCTTCTATGCCTATTTCCTTCTTCATTCTCTTAAATTTAGCAATTATTTAAAAAGAAATTTATTTCTCCTGATGATTGTTCTTGAATCAGTCATTGTTGCTTTTATTATAGTAGAACCTCCATAGTTAACCACGTCCTTAAGTTGACCTAATTTTCACTCAGTGGAACACTGTTCTCTGTACATTGACCACTTCTGTAAATTATATTTTGACCACTTGGACTGAGACACACAATATTAATTTACCCTTTTTAACTTGACCAGTTGAATCCACTCTACTTTGGTCATTAGTTGTATTATTTTTTCTTTATAAGTTCTTTTTTCATGTTTTATTATTACTACGTGTTGGATTAATGTCCTATTGTTTATCACATGTTGTGGAAGATATTTTTTATTTATTTTTTTCTTTCCCTTTTCTTTTTCCCCAAGAAAGATTTTTTTCAATGTGAAGGACTGGTCTGAATTGTAGGTATATTGTAGGAGACCAGATGACTCAAGGGAAGGAGAAGCAAGAGTTAAGCTTTGAAGGCTCTGTAACTATAAGAAACACCTATGATATAACATCTCAATAATACCTTGGTGATAAGGGCATGGGGAAGGGACTTGGCTCTCCTTAACACAAGAGCAGGAGAGTACAGAGGCACATCAGTGCTTGGCAGTCTCCATACCTGTGGTGCACATAGCCATGGGATCACTTCTACAAGTAGCTGCAGGAGAGTGTAGTCCGGATTCATTCCTTCTCTCAGACTGGCTCACTCTCTTTTGCTCCTCCTGCTAGGAGGGCACGGGGCTTCTATGAAGACTGCTAAGATTAGCTCTCCTACTAAGACTGTTTCTCTTCCTCTCCCGCTAAGACGACTTGCCCTCTGGCACCTAAGGGAAGTTGATCCCAAGCAAAGTAGCACTGTGGTCCACGTCCAGACAGTTAGATAGGCCAGGGCTGGTGACAAGGCGTCCTGTTCCTGACAAGTGGCGATGAGGATGGGATAGTGGACGTGGACTGAAGGGGAAATAAGCTTTTAGCAAAAGAAAAAGAGAGAGGAGAAATATATAGGGAAAAGAAAGATACAGGAAAAAGAGAGCCAACACCAGGCCTTCCTCATTTAGTTTCTTCCCTTCTGTCCTGTGCTTTCTCTTTCCAAATCCTAATCACATTTTCTGTGTAGTAGTTTAAAAACAAAACAAAACAGATAAAAGCCTTTAGAAACAAAAGGGAAAGAGAAGCGATGAAACTCAGGAATAAGAACTGTTAGCAAACAAAAGCTTTTGGCAGATAAAAATAGCAAGGGGAGGGAGAGAGAGAAACAGTCTTAGTAGGAGAGGGAATCTTAGCAGTCTTCATAGAAGCCCTGCACCCTCCCAGCAGGAGGAGCATAAGAGTTAGTGAGGGAGTCTGTGAGAGAAGGAATGAATCCGGACTACACTCTCCTGCAGCTACTTGTAGAAGTGATCCTGTGGCTATGTGCACCACAGGTGTGGAGACTGCCAAGCACTGATGTGCCTCTGTACTCTCCTGCTCTTGTGTTAAGGAGAGCCAAGTCCCTTGCCCATGCCCTTATCACCAAGGTGTTACTGAGATGTTATTATACCACAGGTGTTTCTTATACTGGTAGTTACAGAGTGTCCAGAGCTTAATTCTTGCTTCTCCTTCCTTTGAATCATCTGGTCTCCTATGGTATATCCTACAATTGCTGAAAAATTTACAGTAAATTGAGACATTATGGCCCAAAAGAAAGAACTCAAAGAGCTAACAATAAAGGAAAAGGTTGATCTACCTTTTCTGGAAAGCAGTAGCCAAAGAAAGACAGTGGGACATTTTGGTATGAGCAAAGAGTACATTTACAACATCCAAAAATGTACACAGAGAAATGGAGAAATGGAGAAATATGGTAAGGAAAGCTGAGATCTACAGTGGAAAAGGGGGAAAACTTCCCTTGATGAAGTCAATGAAGCCACATTAAGGTGGTTCAAACAAATGAGGAAAGTCAATTGTACCCTAAATTTCTGTGCAAATTTTTTAGCAACTTCTTGCATCAGCCAAATCTCCAGGCTGATGCAAGAAGTTGCTAAAAAAAAACTTGCACAGAAATTCAAGGTGGCAGATTTTCAGCCATCAAGTGCGTGGCTCAAATAATTTAAACTGTGACATGAGATCTCCCTATCATTTAGCTCCCACTTATGAAGTGAGTACACGCGGTATTTGTTTTTCTGTTCCTGAGATACTTCACTTACTATAATGGTTTCCAGTTCCATCTAAGTTGCTGCAAAAGACATGACTTCATTCTTATTTATACTTTTCTTTTATAATTAAAGACATGCATAAGTTTTTCTAAAGAGTCATTCTTGAGGAATCATATATTTTGTTGATATTGCAAATGTCATTCTTTTAGAAATTACTTTTTTTTGTTTGTAGCTAGTGTATAGAAATGCAATATTATAAAAATACTGATCTTATATCCTGCAACTCTACTAAGGACACATTAATTCCACTAATTTATAGAATCTTTTGGGTTTTCCATTAGACAGTCAGCTCATATATAAATGATGATTTATTACTTTTCAATCCTTGTATCTTTTTCTTTTTTATTGTTACTGCACTGGCTAGGACATCTAGAACAGTGTTGTGTAGAAGTGGTGAGAGTGTATATACTTGTCTTATTGCTGATCTCAAAAGAAATACTTTCCACATTTCACTACTATTTTCTGTGCGGTTATTAAAATAGACAGCATTCTTAGTTTGAGACAGTTCTTTGCTATTCATAGTTTGTAAAAGTTTTTTCATCATGAATGCATGAATAGATGATGACTGTTATGAATGCTTTTTTTGTGCATTAGATGTGGTGAAATATATTAGTAGACATCTAATGTTATTTTTTTGTTTTTACTTTCCAGAGATAAGCCAAACTCAGAATAGAATATGTATAAATCAAGTTTGCTAATATTTTAGTAATGCCTTTTGCTTAGTAGGGAGACTGGCCAGTAATTTTCTTTCATATATTCTCTTGGTTATCTCATTAAATCAGCTTATAGACATTGTTATTTTTTCTTTTTTGAATGTATGGTTAAGCTCTCCTATGAAACAAGCTGAGCCTAGTAGGTTCTTTTTTGAGAGATAGTCGTTTGGGAGTCTTAATGTTAAATTATTGTTTTAGTTTCTTTAATGGTT